CGTCATTTGATCATTCTCAACTGATTCCAAAGGAGGGGCCCCTAACAAGATTTAGCTTGACCTTTCTTCCAAATGTCAGGGTCTTGTCTGACCAGCATTAGCCCCCTCGGTGGTTGCGGTGACTTGCAGCTTAGGATCTGCACGTTTGGCTGAACGTTATATATATATATATATACATATATACATATATATACAGAGAGAGAGAGAGAGAGGCATTCCATGTGTTTGATATTAAGGGGGCAAAAGATCGTATTGCTGCCCCCTATCTAAGTATTTATTATTAAAAGATTATGTTGTACAAAAGATCAATACCTTGGACCTGCTTCAAAGAAAAAGGCCAGACTGGTGCGTATCCCCTAATATCTGTAGCCTTTTCTTTTGGATTGGTGAGACAGTTACTCGTCTATTTATATCCTATCCTTTTGTTTCTTACCTGTGGGACTGGTTCTCTTCTCTCTTTGGTTGCAAGTGAATTCCCCCCTCATGTGTGCTAAGCCTTTTAACCCTAGATTTTTCCATAAACAAAAGAAAAGGGGTAGAATGATGTGGAAAATAACAAGAGTAGCTATCATTTGGTCAGTTTGAGAAAAGAGAAATAATAGGATCTTCCAAGGGCAAGAAAAATCCAAGGAAGCACTTGTTGAGGGTATTACCGTCAAAATTATACATTGGTTGAAAGTTTTGCAACTATTCAAGGACTTCTCTTCCCCTTCTCCTATAGTTCAGGAGAGTTGGTCCCCTCCTCTACAGGAGTTGGATAAAGAGTTCTACATTGTTTTAACAACTAACACACTTCACAAATCAAACTCTAACTCAAAACAAACTTAAACAATTTAGGAAATAATCCTTGTATCAAAGAAAAGACAAATGGCCTAGCCTAGCATGCCACAACTGTAACCTAGCTATTGACTCCTGTTAGTGGTTCGATCAGCTTTGATTCCTGAAATAAAAAAGAAAGGGAGAAGAAGGGAGGAAGAAGAAGAAGAGAAAAAGAGAATAAAAGATGAAGAGATGGTTTGGCTGGTTTCCAAAAGAGAAAATTAGTCTCCTAGCGCCAATCGGAATCTATATATATAATATTAAGTACAAAGGCCTTTGTGCCCCTCTTTATGTATGGGACACTCTACTCAACCTCAGACACAATAGACAAAACATCTTTAAGTAAAGCACTATGAAATGACTCAAATACCCCTGGACTATCGACTCTAACACACCCCTTCAATCTAGTGAGTATATATCATATAATCCTAGCTTGTTACATATATAATCCACTTTTCCCCGACTCAACCCTTTTGTAAACAAATCAGCCCACTGGTTCCCTATGTTCACATGTATTGTATTTATCACTCCACTAAGCACTTTTTCTCTTACAAATGACAATCAATTTCTATGTGTTTTGTTCTCTCGTGGAAGACTGGATTAGATGCAATGTGAACTACAGCTTTGTTGTCACAGTACAACTTCATAGGATTGTTGAGTGTATACCCAATCTCCTAGAGGAGGTTCTTTAACCACACTAAACTCACATGCTGTGTGTGCCATGGCACACACAAGAAAAGTACAATACCCTATAATAGACCTTCTATCGGACACTGAGCCTACCCAATCTGCATCTGCATAACCCTCTATTTCAAGACTTCCTCCTGATTTGTATAATAATATACAACCTGGAGCCCCTTTCAAATACCATACAATTCTCAGAACTACAGATATATCATTTGTTAGGTACCTGAAGTGGGTCTACCGGCCAATATATCATTTGCTGTGAGTATGGTGAGCAGTTTATGCAACATCCTCGGGTTCCTCATTGGGAAGCAGTTCTGAGGATTGTTAGGTACCTAAAGGGTGTTCCAGTTCGTGATTTGCTATACAATATTGGAGGTACTCTTGAGATAGTAGGGTATACAAATGCTAATTGGGCTGGTTCTGTATCAGACAGGAGATCAACTACAAGGTATTGTACCTTCTTTGGTGGCAATCTTGTAACTTGGAAGAGTAAGAAACAAACAGTGGTGGCAAGGAGTAGTGCAAAAGCTGAGTACAAGGCTATGGCTCATACCACATGTGAATTAGTATGGCTAAAGAACTTGCTACAAGAGATGGGGTTCTCAGTTGACAAACCCATGAGACTATACTGTGATAATCAAGCAGCTGTTCACATCTCTTCCAATCCAGTCTTCCATGAGAGAACCAAGCATATTGRGGTCGATTGTCACTTTGTAAGAGAGAAAGTGATCAGTGGAGTGATAACCACATCTCATGTGAGCTCGAGAAATCAATGGGCAGGTCTCTTTACAAAGGGATTGTCTCGGGGCAGAGTAGATTATATTTGTAACAAGCTGGGACTATATGACATGTACTCTCCAGCTTGAGGGAGAGTGTTAGAGTTTACAGAATAGAGGTATTTTGGTCATTTGACTTTATCTATTTGAGAGTGAAAGGTCTGTTTTATTCAAGTTTAAGTTGTGTGTCCCATCACTTATGAGTGAAAGGTCATTTGGCTTTCTTGTAACTAAGTTTATGTAAGATAAATGCAAGTGGATCGACTAGAGAGGACAGATTTTCCTCTACTGGCCGAACCCTTCTTCTCCTTCTTCTTCTTCTTCTTCCTCTTCTTCTCCACTTTAACCTAGAACTGAATAGGGTTTTCACAGTAACTATTTGTGATGTAGAAGATGGAGAAAGAGAGGAATACAAACCTAGATTCCCAATCATATGATTGGAAACTCCTTGTGTTCAGCTGGTCTCCAGAAGAGAAAATCAGTCTCCCAGCCAACCAGAATCAATATTTATAGATTTCTAATATTAAGTACAAATACTTTTGTGCCCCTCTTTATGTATGGGACACTCTACTCAACCTCAGACACAATAGACAAAACATCTTTAAGTAAAGCACTATGAAATGACTTAAATACCCCCTGGAGTGTCGACTCTAACAACTCCTCGTTTTCCCAACCACTGATTATAGATAACTGTAAGGCTGAACTGATGTCTGCATCAAAGTAATAGAGACCTCTAGACTCATGACCACTCCCAATCATTCTCTTCATCAATTTGTCCTAAAAAACACAATGAGTAGGAAAGAATGTTATGCTACAGATTAAGTTTTTTGTAAGCTTAGAAATAGATAATAGGTTTGAAACAAGATTGTGAACATAGAGTACAGATTTAAGAGAGAAATCCTTGCCTAGGTTAACCTCCCCCTTTCTAAAGATGATGGAGAATGAAACATCAGCTACTCTCATCT